TTCTTCAAAAAGCCTTTTAAAAATGGATCATCTGAGAGAATAATTTGTCCTCTGGATTGGCCTCTGCATTCAGTTATTCAGGTTGACATTGCCACACATGAGTTTACATAGACTTGCCAACTGATTGTTTTACCTGACATTCAGAATACCGTGTGAGCTGTTTGCAGGATCTGATTTTGTTGAAGTCATTCATGCAAACTGGTGTTTGAAGTTTTTTGAGTATTGTAGCAAAGAATTGTCTTTGATTGTTTTATTCAATTCTAGAATCAGTATTTTCCCAGTTTTCATCGTCTCTTGATAATGTGTATCTTTCCACTTACGAGAAGACAGCATATATGTAAATTAGTCTTCTCTTTTATCGGTAAGATATAGGCGTAAGATTTAATTCCATTCTCTACTTAACTCAGTTTGACTTCGGAGAGGAAACTGAACATAAGACTGCCAAGAGAATGTTGTTTAAATACAATATGGTTTCAGTATTTCAACAGACAGATACAAATAAATTGGCATGCTATGATGGTGGGAAAGGCCTTAAACTGACTTGTTTCAGTATTTTCAGTATCTAAGTGCAGAAGCCTTCCATGTGTACGCAATTACTGGAGATAGAATTTAAATTTGTACAGCACAGGAGTTTAACACAGGATCAAGTTTATCTTGTTATATTTCTATCATTAGATTTTTGTTTGTAGCAATAACAAAAGCCACCTGGCAAATGATACAGACAAATCTTGAAAGACATTCCAAGCATAATAGTGTTAAAAATGCATGGCTTATTTTAACTCATGTTTTATAAACATAAAAGCCAATGGCAGGAGTTTCTGCCTATAGGAAAGTAATCTATATACATAGTATTTTCAACCTAAATGCTGTTGGAATATGCTGATTCTCCCCCTCCTCCAGCTTCTATGTGCCTACACAAATAATTTTTGAAATCATTGTCTGCCATTTAAAACACAAACAAGCATAAGGTAACTCATATCACTAGCAATTTCAATGCCTTCTAATACAGAAAATTAGGGAACTGACAATACAAGGGAGATTTAGGCAGACGGACATTTTCTAGTAAGGTGGTAGAGGGACACCAAATATGTGTCCAGCCACTCCTGTCTCCACATGAGCCAGATATGTACTGCAGGTGAATTTCATCTCAAGCCCTATCTCTTTTTAAGGCTCACTGGGAACAACCTTTATGTGTCTCACCGTACTGTCTTCATAGTCCTTAGCCTCTGTGCTCATGAACTGTATGGTCTGTTTCAGCTTTGCTTCTGCTAAAGTAGATTTCATGGAACTAATAATGAACAGTTTAGTTAAGCTCATTGGAAGGGCACATACTGGAGGTCTGCTGAAGAACTGAAGTCCGAAAGGAGCTCACACTCTGCCTTTCAGGATGGAACGAAACTGAGTTTTTGGCTGTGTTTCAGTATTGTATATGCCAGGGTTTCCAAAGTCTTATTTGGGCATTCAGGTTTTGGGCATTCAGCTGTTGAATAGCTCAACAGACCACACAGGACCAGGCTGTAGAGGCAGTTAGAAAAAAAAAAAAAAAAAACATAAAAATGGTCAACCGAAGATGAAACCTCTTCTTCTTTTTCAGAACACCAATACCAACCTTGCTTTCTGCAGCTTGTGCCTGGCATTGTGAACACACATCAGTACTTGGTTTGATACAAAATACTGTCTCCCTTTATTTAATGTCATAGTAAATTCAGGTAAAAACAGTGATGTTACTATCACAGTTGTTTGTAGAGTCTCCCAGACAGCATCATGACAGAAATGATTATCATCTTCTGTAGGAAATGTAAAATCTTTGCCTTTTTGGAGAATTTTATTATCAAAATTACAACTTTCTAAAGGCTGATTGAAATAACCTAGTCTCTAGTTCTTATGGGTTCAGTCATCTCAGGCTTGTTTGCTTTCTCTGGTTTGGGATTGTTTCACAGATTTTCTCCTTAAGAACCATAGAATGAAGTTCAAAGACAACCTTAATAAATTTATTATAGCTGATTTTATTTTTTCAGTTCTCAATAGGTGAAAACGCATAGAAAATTGTACTTCAGTTTGTGCAGCAGACTTTTGACTTCCTTTTTTGATTAAGTAGTGTATTGTACGTATGTTTGATTAAGTAATGTATTGTATGTAGTGTATTTTTTGATTAAGTAGTGTATTGTTAGGTACAACGTAAGCACAGAATAAAGAAAGAGGAGCACTTTTATTAAGTGGACTTTTTGGCTTAGAAATTTTAAAGCATGTTGACCTATGTAGCCATTAGTTTCTGTGTCCATGTTAACACCTTGATTAACATAACTGATCTAAGTCTGAGGCTTTATCATGGAAAGGAAATTGATTCATTTGGAGGTGGAAGAGAATTGATAATGCTTTGAAAAAAAATATAATAATAATAATGATAGTAATGATTACAGAATGGGAGGTACTGTAACAAATCTACAGACTTAGAAGAAAGAACATTAGTCAACACTTGTTGGCCAGACTCAATCACAATGTAAGGCATCCTCCAGATTTGTGATTGTACAATGATGTAAACTTCCTTAAAAGAGCTTGGGAATAGATTGATGTTGATAGTACAATATACTTTACTTCAGCATTACAGGTATATGACAGACAATATACATTTCAGTAATTCCTAAACACTTCAGACATTGCTTAAGTCCCATAGATTTAAGAGCTTTGCTGAATAGGTCTGCTATTTCTCATATGTTAAAAATAAGCACATGGAAAAGAGTTTTGAATAATCAGGGCATAATTTTCCATAATACTACAATTGATCTCAAAGAGACTACTTAGGGAGAAATAATTTTTTCACCTTGAGTAAAGAGTGACAGAATTGTGCCTAATAAATAGAATTTTGGAAAAAAAAAAAAGTGTTTTTGTTTGTTTGTTTGTTTGTCTTATAGTCTATCCCTTGACAAAATAAGATTGTTCCTTATACTGTTTAGTTCTGTTGTTTTTAGCTCTGTATTTAATTCAGTTTTAAGTGTCTCAAACTGTGGTGCTTCTTCCACTTCCTCAGTCTATATCATAAATCTTATTTGTATGTTTGCTCAGTATTGCTTGATAATACATAACAGAAATTGAAAGATGTTAGAAAACTGCTCGTTCTTAATTCCTGTGAATGATTGTTTATTGTTTATTTCACTGTTATGCTAAAGTATGTAATGATTTCTGCCAAAAGAATCTAAGACACAGGTTGAATTTGATTAATGAATACCATTATTTGCTGATAGCCTGAAGGATTTATCTTTTATCTAGGTATTTTTTTTCCAGAAAAGGCACTTTTAAAATTAAATTAAGCAATTCTGTATAAATGCCTATTCCAGCTGCTAGACAAATCACCCTTTTATTCAATTAGCATTACTATTCAAAGCTTTATCAAGTAAGTTCCTAATAATATAGTACAGACTTATTTCACTGGCCACAGCATCAACTCTCACAACGTCAGCTGAAAAGAAAAAAATGAAAACATTTTTTATGTTGACAAAAATCTGAGAACTAAAATGGTGGTGCACATTTTTGTAAGATGAATCCTTAGATGTTCTTGAACTATGATTTTTCTAATGAGTACCACTGGGTATTGGTCAAAATCTTCATGTCTTAATTGTTGGTATCATGAGAATGGAGTTACTCTTCCTATTTTTATTTCCTTTTTGCATGAGTTTACAGTTCAGCAGCCTAAGCTTAGAAGGAAAACAAATATGAATTAATTTTGCCAAGTGATTCTAAAACTCATTTTAATTAGTCCCTTACACTCTACAGTTAACCTTGATTGCATTTCATATTTTACACTTTCTTGCTTTGTGTAATGAGGAATGCTTCCTACTAATAATGTTACTAAAGCAGAAGAATAAATTGATGCATTTTTCTACATTAGTGTTGCAGTTTATTTTTCAAGCTTCTTTGATCAGAAAGATTTGATATGTCAGTTTTGCTAAATTTGCTATCTACCTGTACGTGTAACTGATTACATTTCTTGATTTAAGGATTAAGAAGTCAATGGAAAAGTTAGCTGAGCTAGAAGACAAAGTCAATTTTAGCAAAATGTTAATCCATGGATTTCATTATATTTGAATCTGCTTACTGTAACTGGCTATTAATATTTAATGTTTCATGTAAAACAGATTATGAAATTTAAACAAAAACTACCTTGCCTTATATAAATACATAGATCTTAGAGCTCCTGTAGATAGAAAAATACTTCACAGAGATAATTTAATTCATAAGTAGGGAAATCTTTTTCCCCACTTATCTCCTACCTGACTATGTAATCCAGGATGTTCTAATATCTTATGAAGCTTAGCATTTGCAGATTTCACCCTTGGAGAGCATATTAAAATCCCTAGTCCTGCTCCCTTAGAAAATGATAGAAATTTTGTTCTTATTTTCAAAAGGAGCTGGATTAGGCCCATAGTAATAGGTGAGTTTTTGTGTTATTTCAGAAGATTTTTACTCTTTGTATGAATTCTAATATGAAAATACTGATCTAAGAGCTGGTATTTACTTCACGATGCTTAGATTCTGCAGGAGGTCTTTGGTCTTTGATTCAAGACAGCTATGCAATATGAGTCATGGCAGAAGAATTGCTTTCAGACTCCTTCAGTGATCAGATCTCCCCTCTAGCATCATGCAAACACTCTGGACACAGCTGGTGCAGACAGTAGCATTGGGATTGCATGTCAAAAGTCTTTGCAGATAAAATGCACCAAGATTCTCATGGTGTTTGGCATATGAGACCAATGGGGAAACATCTGCTCCTCAAACCAAATGGTATTACCATATAGCGATTGCTTTCTCAACATGTATTCATTAAAATGGAATTTGGGCAAAGCTTATGGTTTGTAATTTCTCCACTTTGCATCTTTTCTTTCAGTATTATTTAACATGTCCACCTCCATTCTCTTTTTCATTCTCAAGAGATTCCAATTTGCTTATCAAGTTCTCTTTCTTTGTCTTCTCCCCCCTTCCCCCCCTCCCCCCCTTTCATCCAGATGGAATGCCATTTGCTTGGTGGGTTGGCCGTGCCAATGAAAAGCATCTTTACTGGGGAGGATCTCTTCCGGGCATTCAACAGTGTGCATGTGGACTGGAAGAAAGTTGTCTGGATATGAGATATTTTTGCAACTGTGACGCAGATAGAGAAGAATGGTAATAATTTTCATGTGTATGGTAGTGTCTGTGTGACAGCTGGGGGTAGAAAGTAGGGCAAGAAGGCTTAAATCTTCTGTTAATGTATGTCGGGGGAAATCTGAATGGTTTGAGTACAATCAAATGAGAAAGAAATTCAAAATAAAATTTACACTTCTGATTTCAGATTAATTTTTTTGTTTGAACCAAAGACAAGATATCTGGCTAAAGCAAGTTGCTGGGATAGGTTGACAAAAATCTTTGTTTTTATTTGTGTGAAAGTTTCCATTGATTGAGTTGGATGAGTAAAAGCTATAGGAAGTGGGTGCATGGAGATACATGAGAGCAGAAATTTCAGGAGTACACTGTAAAATTCAGGTACAGCTAGTTAAAGGATGAGAAATCTGTACTATCAAAAGGATTTGTATTTTTCATATGAAACATTGTACTTTAGGTACTTTAATGTTCTTTTACATTGTTTCCCAAGTTTGTTAATGTGAATGAAAGGACTTCCTTTGGCTCCTGTAGGTTTTGATTCTGTCTCCGTAAGAAGTTTTAGATTTATGGCATGGACATTCAAAGCCTTCCTTGGCTTCAGAGCTTAGCTTTGCCTGGATGTTGCATGAATTTCCTAAGGACACCTCACAACTTTCTTCCATTCTTCGTATCTTCATAGTCTCTCGAGTAGCTGGGAGCTAGTTGGTGAACTTTACAGTTAATTCTGTACTTGTGTTAGAGGGGACAGAAATGCCAGACAAGTGTTGAAAGGACAATTTGAAATACCGTGAAAATGTATGTGAAAACTCAGCTTCACCTGCTGTCTCTACTAGACTACTCACTGATAGGAGCAGCTGCCCTTTCTCTGAAGGGGAAAAAAAGTGTGTATATTTTAACATAGAATAGTTCAGAATTTAGGAATAATGGAAATGGGCAAGGGTGTCTTGCTATAATACAGTACTCTGTTTGCAATGGTGTCCAAATTATCCCTGTGAAACCTACACTTAAAAGAGAGTCAGTACAAAGGAACCATAAGGGTTCTTGAAACAAGCAACATCCCCCTCCCCCCACCTCAAAAAAGAGTCAGAAATGATTTGACATTTTAAGTGTTATGGTTTTATGGTTTTTTGGTTGCTTGTATGCAATATTTACAATAAGGCCTCATTTCCAGATAACGTGCATGTTCACTTGGACCCTTTATATCCCTGGAATCTCTATTCACTTTCAAAGATCATAGTTCTAGAGGGATTTCTTTGAGAAGCTCTTTATGTAAATGTTAGTTTATGAATATAATTTGTATTGATTTGTACAGAAACACCTCACTGTGCATGTTGATCTCTCTTTTCTTTAATATTTGGTTACCAGAAACACTTTGGTAAGGTTTATACATGAGCATCAGAAGTATGCTTGTACTGGTGCCTGGCTGTGTTCATCATCCACATTTTTCTTTGCTTGGTGAGCTGCTGCTCTACAATATGCTGTGCTGTGCTGGTAACCTGAGATCGCAGGACAGTGCACCACAAGGTCATATTAACCAATGCAAGGTGAAAACTAAGCAAGTTATGCTGGGTGTGTTTATCACCACCACCACCACCACCCCACCCCCCACCCCCCCACAGTGATTTTGAACAGGAAGATAAACTTCAAACATATTTGACAGAGAAGTAGAACTCTCCAAAGTATTAGAAATTACATATTCTGTGAAAATTTATGCAAGGTTGAGGGGAAAAGGCCAATTAAAATCCACAAGAAGGAAGTTATGGAAGAAAAAGCTAACACTTCTGTTAGATTTTGGAAAACCCTCATGGGAGAGAGATGTTACATATCATGCTTCATTAGCATGGTAACTCACAGAGTTGCTTGTGTCTCCTAATTTTCCTAATTTCTTGATGATAGCAGGACACACACAGAAGTTTCCTCAGTTAAACTATCTACTGTTTGTTGGTTTGGGGCTGCAGGTGCTTTCTTTGTTTATTTTTTTTCTTCCTCTTTTTTTTTTTTCCTTTTTTTAAAATCCATTAGAAATCTGGTCATCTTTTGAATGGTATTCTAAGTTGCAGGTTGCCTGTTTAAAAGCTTTTTTTAAAAGTGACCTTTACAAAGAATTTCTAAACATAAGAAAATTTAATGCCTCTTGAAGATTACTTTTGTGCTTCTCTGCTTGAACACTGACCCCCTGATATATAATGAGCATTTGAATCTGAAACCTGCTGAGATCTGAACTGTGACTTTAACCTGCTATACATTATCTTGGAAGGAGTAAGACAGTAGTAGATGCATTTATTTGCCTTAGCATGAAATAAAATGGGTGCTAGAGAGTGGAAAATCAGAAAATCATTTTTATTCTTTTTAGATAAGTCAGGCTGCTCAGTGCAGCTCCAAGGTAGAAATTCACCAGAATGGCTGGAGCATCCTTTGGAAGAGGAGACAGGCTGAGGATTTTGCTCTGATTTTGTTTCCCTAGACTCTGTGTTGGGTGCAGAAGAACCTACTAATTTCTCAGAGTAACAAAAGAAACAGGAAACAAGAGAAAACAGATCTAAAAAAAAAAAAAAAGAGTCCTAAGCCAGGTGTTTGGCAGAACACAATATGCACTTCTAGGCATGCTGACTTTTAAATGATATCTAAGCAGACACCTGAGCCAGCTGCTAACTCCAGTCTCCTACTTGACGTGATGCTAAGTTAGTCCCCCTGGAGTTATGCTGGCCAGATGAACAGGAATATAATTAGTTTCATTCTGTATGGGGAAGTCTTTTGATTTTTTTTCCCTTTTCTTTTTATTTAAATCAATTTAGTGAAAAATACTTTTTTCCATCTAGCTCTTCACTTCTTTCCTCGCCATACTTCCAAACTTTGCAGTATGATGCCAGCCAGTTCTGTCACTGCAGAACAGTGAAGTAACTTGTTGGTATTTACTAGAGCATGGGAAATCACCTCTGCTGAGGGAGGAGAGGCACAGGCTGGCACCCTGATCCCAAGTAAGGCATAGAGGCACAGGCTGACCCCATATCTAACACGAAAGGTGTTAAATATGACTTGACTGTAGTTTATGCATGCCTCCAAAAAAGGAGAGTCATTGAAAGCTCTTGCTAGTGGATGGGAAAATTCACTGAGATCCAGTAGCTGCAAGCAGAAGTTAAATTTAGTCCAAAAAATCTTATCTTCCTCTCTCCCTCCTTTCCCCAGCTAAGAATAATTAACTATTGGAACGTTATGTGTAGATGAGATGGATTTGCCATCACTTCAAGCAGTTACCTTGAAAGAGATTGTCTTCCTAAAAGATATGCCCTATTTCAAAAAGAAGGTGTGTTCTTGATGTAGGCATTACTGGGGAAAGGTTTTAAACAGATCTGAAGAATAAAGCATTTCTGAAATGCATGGAGGGTTGCACTATCATCAGTCCATTCTAGAGATCCTTCAGATCCTTAAACAACTCTCCCAGGTTGTCTTTCATCTCAAGCAAAATTCTCTTGCCTTGGCAGCAAAAGTCTCACTGCTCACCAAACATTTCACTGAAATGGGAGGAACCTCTTTCATGCCATGGTCTGTCCTGAAGTCCGTTTGCTACTTTGGTCTCTCTGTCTAGAATCCATTTTTCACTTCAAATGCAACTGCTTGATTGAAGCCTATCATCAAACCAAACCTCTTTCTTGCTGACTACATTCACTGGAATACCTTGTGAATTTGGGGAATTTTACATCTTTTTAATTTGTACAGAAAGAATGGCATCTCTGAAATTCATTTTGTACAGAAATCTCAGGTGTCTCAACAGACTTTGGTGGGCATTTGCTGATTGTGACCAATAAGTGAAGGGCCTTCTTTTATACCGATCATCTAATCTTATTATTCAAATTATAGGAGTCCCCTATATAGATGTATATACAAGATACTGGTATAGGAGTATTCTTTTATTTTCCAGAATAAAAGATAAAAGTCTTTATTACTGGAAAACTAAGCCTTTGAGTCTTCCTGTTTCCATAGTAATGCACATTTACATCTTCACCATGCCTTTGAGGTACTGCAGGCAATGAGGGAACCACAGGGCATGAAAGAAGGAAAAAAAAAGGTGAGGTGAGATACTACTATTGTCAAACCCACTGTGTGTCCCTGAGATGTATTGAGTATATCTGGCTTTGTTCATTGTTCAGGGAGGAGGAAAGCCCCATGAAGCTGAATGAGGCCCTGTCTGGACAAGATGTATTTGTGTAGAGTTTTGCCAGAGCTGGGGTGTTAAAACTGGAAGGGCTGAGGAGAGCAGGGCAAAGAAACCCAGCTTCTGATGAGCCTGGATTTGACAGGTTTTGTTTGCTCAGCCACTATCCCACGCTGAATCCATTGCCTCAGAAGCAGGGTAGGCAACTCTGTAGAGCACTTGATGCAAGCTAATCTGCCTTCATGGCTGCATTTGTCAACAAAGTAGAAAAGCTGCCTGCAGAGAGCTGACTGTAGCAGGCCCCTGAGATGTCAGGAATCAGTTCATTACTATCATTACCAAACTCTCTCTGTTTCTCTTTTCTAATTCTAGCAGCAACTGCATTTTGCCCTCACTGGTTACATATGTCCCCTTCTGCTGCTCTTTTTTTCATTAATGTGACTTGCAAGATAGTAATTAAAATGTATTCCTTTGGATTATTAATGATCTGTCCTGCACAAGGCTCAAAACTTTCTTTGATGGAAACCTATTTTGCTGGCCCATTCCTAATGCTGTTCATTGACATCTGACGCTGATAGTGTTCTTTTTCCCAAATGTACCGTATTCATGAAAATCTATCCTGAATATCTGACCTACAGAATCACAGACCTCAACAAAGTTTTCATTAATTTATAAAAAGAAAACATACCAATAGGGGATCATATGAGAAGAAATCATGTCTGATGACACTACTGGTCTAACATATGGTAGACAGAAATATGGAAACAGCTACTTTGAGGTTACCGATATATGATGGTTTATGTTGTTGGGATACCACAGAGTGAGAACTTTTGGAGTATTTATTAGTATGCAGGAAAAAGAAAAATAGTCTCCTAATGTTACCATCAAAATAGTTATTCATCATTTACAGGTAGGACTACCTGTACTGTTCTGTAAAGTATCTAGATGTACTATCGCTTTTAGTGTTGCTGCATTTGCAATGAAATGTGATTTTGATTTTTTTTATTTTTTTTTTCTCGTATGTAGAGAATTTGCTTGATGCATAACCTGCCTCATAACTTATTGAGGAAGTCCTTTGGGTCAATGCCATTAATACTCAGACATAGATCCACAGTTGACGTGCAACTGTGTATTTAATACCCATAGCTAAAAAGTATTTTGGTAATTAAATTTAAAAAGCTTTATTGGTTTTGGTTTTGTTTTGGGAAGTACAAATTGATAATGCTCTTCTTGCAAAGAACTTAGAGAAAGAGACATTAACTGAAGGTGCTTTCCACACTCTGAAAAACGTTAAAAATTTCACTTGAATTTGTGCAGAACCAAATGCTTAGTCAGGTAAGCAGAAGTTCTTCCCAAATTTATTTGCACCATATTCTGTGCATACAGAACTCTTTTCAAGAATGGGATAAAGACTGTTTTGGTTTGTGTGAAATCAGGTTTTAGCTCACATTCCCAGCCAAAAAGTATCCCACAGGCAGGACCCAATGGTGCTGAGAAGTGGGATGTCGCCTGGTGCAAAAAGTGCACTTGGTAGAAGTGGATATGGAGTGCTATGTGAAGCCTGCTGAGAGAAAAAAAGTAGTGTTTTTGGCAAAGCTGAGAAGCAGCTGTGGAAAACCAAGTATAATCTGTTTTTAAGTTATGTGAATTGTTAAATTAAAATACATATATGTAAAATCTAGCTCAGGGAACAAATGCAAAAGCAGTGAATCTAACAAGGCTTTATTTTTGTTTAAAAGACTAAATTCTATGTGTGCACATTGTAATGCAGGTGCTTTCTAATCAGGTAATAACACGTTTTCCTTGACAACTGTGGTAGTTTAAAAGTGAACCCTCAAGCCCTCTTCAGGTAAAAGTCCAAATATTTTGTCCAAATCCTGGAATATTTGTATTTTGTAGTGCTACAATAGTGCCTGAAGGAAATGATTATACAGGTACGTGAAACTCTCTTGTTCCTCTCAGAGACATAATATGTTGTGTTTGAGAGGCTACCATGATGCACCACATAAAGAGAAGAGGAATCATGGTGCTTTATAAGAAATTGAGTTTGAAATAAGCTTAACTTAAAAGACCGTGCATTCAAGATACTCAAGCTTTAGCTTCCACAAGTCACTTTATAGTGTCTTCAAATATCTTTTTTGCTTTTCTTAGCTGAAAAGTGTTGATTTTTCACTGAAAATTTGATTACTCATCATGGAATAATAGTAATTAACTGTGACAATAGGTATGTTGTTTCCATTCTAAGCACATTCTCTAAAGGGTAGAATGTTTCAGATAGATTTTATTTCAGTGTCTGCTTGTATGAGACATGTATTCTTGTACAAGTCTTTTTTTTTTTTCTTCTGTGAGAGAGATTAAAATACATAAAATGTGCTTTTTGAGCTTCCAGAGAAACTTAATTGAGTTTTCAATACATTAACATAAAAGTGATTATTTTTATTGTTTTTGAATATTTTTCTTTCTCACAGTTGAGCTGTGCTACTAAAATTCTCAGTACCACTGGCATATAACTAGTAAAAACTCAGAGTCATAAAGAATGATATAAAAGAACTTCATGCAATATAACAGACTATCTAATAAGTGATGCAGTTCTCAGAGATGTGGAATAGATATCTTTAAAATGTCACAATTTCATTATTTTTTTTTTTTTTGGTAAGTATCTTCAGTAGTAGCTGCAGGAAGGTACTGATTTTTATTGTATTATTGATCATAGCTAGTCAAAAGTCTGTGCTATTTTTTGAATAAAAATAAATTTGCAGGAAAAAACCCTGGATATTTGGTGAAAAATCTTTTATATTTTTTAATGTAACTGTCATTTAGTTATTCATGTGTATATTGCATATTTCATGTCCTATTTCTGTAAATCCTTCTGCCTTTCTTTCATTCATTCTACCTACTTTTCTTCCTACTGTGCCCTGAAATGCTTTATTTAATTATCTTCCTAAGAAATACTCAAATAGATCAGCTTCTGTTACAACTGTTTCATAATCTGTTGAGAGCATTTACACTGACTTTCAAGGATTGATACAACTAGCTACATGACAATGCTTCTGAGAGGCCTCAATGAAGAGATTCAGAGACCATGTACTTTTGATTTTCATACATGATACATTTCCATGTCAGTCTCTATTGAAGGTGTCTCTGTTGAAGGCCTCACTCTGTCTTATGTGTGAGAATGTCATCTTTCTGCATTTTGTAATTATCTACATGTCATACACCCACTGAAGCAAGAAAAGTGTAAGGGTCAAAGAAGGTACTTTTCCTTTTCTTCTTGGAATTACAAGACAACTGTGCTGCATGCAGTTAGAAACAATGAAAAATAAATGAAATGTTTGCAGCCTTTATCAAAAAGATGAAAGTGCCCCTTCTATGTCTTGTAACATTAATCAGAATAGAGCAGTTAGACAAGTAAACATCCGAGGCTGTGTCAGAGCACAGCTGTGTTGTTCATCTTGATTACTTCTTTGCTGAAATATCATGTCTATTCCCACAGCTGGAACTACATGTATAATGAGGGGTACATTTGTGGAAGGTGGCATTATGAGAAGTGTATAGTCTGGGATCCTGCCTAGGATGTCAGACTCCTTGGCAATGATTTCACTCAAAAAGTGCAATCTGTTTCCTGAGGCTTTGTTTCATGTATGCATAAAAGAGAGTGGCTATAAATTTGGGATTATTGTTACCTTGTGTCTGGTCATTGTTGCCATCCCTGTGTGCAGCATGAAGTTTACCCCTCTGAGCATATGGGTGAGATCAGTCCAGACCCTGCATGCAGATTCCTTGGCCATGCAGACCTTGGGTTCCTTTTCAGTAAAACTACTGAGGTTTGGCTCCATGAAGAATGCTGTACCAGGCTTATGTGCCTGGATTTCCAACAGACTTCAACCCTGAGTTGGGGGAAGATGAACACATCACTTTGGAGATGAGATGCAGTAGCACTTGCCTCTCTGTAATCAAGAGATAGAGAAATACCTCCAGAGAGGATTTCAGCTCTGGTAAGATCAGGGCTGGATGCCTGAGGGACTTGGTTAAGTTCATGAAGAAAGGTGGAATGAATGTGCATTTGTATACCCTGCCAGAGTCAAAGCTACTGAATCATTTTAGGGACCAGAGGGCTGCCATGAAATGTCATGCTTCACTTTGAGGACACTGCTTTCCCCAAGGCACTCAGATTAAAAAGAAAATAATCTTCCCATCCTCTTCCTTTTTAGCAGCCATGTGTAAGTTAATAGCTCAACAACAAATGCAGCTGATACAAACAAGAGACTGCAGTTGGGCAATACAGTAAATCAGCCTTTATTATTTCAGTTGCTGACCTAAAAATTTCAGACATGTAACGCAAAGGGCTGATCCACTGCAAACTCACTGCCAATTCAACTGTCTTTGCAGTGTGCTGAGTCAATTGTATACTAGCTGTCTTCAAGCTGGATCAGGTATTGTCTAGCGACCCCATGCTAACACCACGCTGCATCAGGTATCACATGTCCTCCTCCTGCTCAGATAAAGCATAAAGCCAGCACAAATTCCATTGTCAGTCTCTGGCTAACTTAACAGAAATTCAGATTTGGGCTTATATCTGATCCACATCAAATTCATCCTGCTGAGGAAACCCAATAGAGCCTGTTTTACATTAATGTCCGTCAGGCAATTAAGGGCAACATTCTGCCTCTGCTTCATAAGCATTCAGCACAGCTAGAATTCATACCAGACAGTATCGTGTATCAAAATGCAGTGTTTTCAGGGGGTCAGTATTATGTCTGAGCATAGAGCATATGTGCGCATGTATGTATCTTAAGCAATGTGTACTGGTCACAAGTCTTATAGTAAGTATGCAAATATATTTAAGTAAGCATCTTTCAACTGTTGCCTTACGCGAGGAATGCTGGGGATTTGTCTGTGGTTAATGTCTCTTTTTGTTTGTTTATTATAATCCAGGACAAATGATACTGGCCTCCTTGCTTTCAAAGACCATTTGCCTGTAACTCAGATAGTGATCACTGACACAAACAGATCAAATTCTGAGGCTGCCTGGAAAATCGGCCCTTTGCGTTGCTATGGAGACAGTAAGTACTAGCTCTTCTCAATTTCTAGAGGAACAGGATGTCCCTTTTTTTTTTTTTTGGTGTTACTTTGTTTTGTTTCATTGTTTGTTTTTTAAACGTGTTTATCTGATGAAAGCTATCTTTCCACGTGCAGCTCACAGCTGCTGTCCTGTGCCTATTTAACTATAGAGAAGGGGGTTGTGTTTGCAGGGCAGTTCTGGAATGCAGCTTCCTTCAACACTGAGGCTTCCTACCTGCACTTCCCCACCTTCCATGCTGAGGTCAGCGCAGACATCTCCTTCTTCTTCAAAACCACGGCTCCCTCTGGGGTATTCTTGGAAAACCTGGGGATTAAGGACTTCATACGAGTTGAAATAAGCTGTAAGTTTCACCATGGAGAAATCACAATGTATTTGCCCAATTTGACAGGAGCAGGAAACTGAGGACTTTTTACTTATGTCTTGGGACTTCTGGAAGAGCTTGGAGAGGATAAGATGGAGACATAGATCTCTCTCTCCTGTCAGAGTGTCAGTGTTGGTCGCTTTGTTTCACCTTATTGTGATTCAGTTCTTCTTTCCTAAACCAAGAGGTAACTAAATTTACAGTATTTTTTCCCCATTTTACCTCATTGGGGAAAGAGCTACTCAGCAGACATGACTGTAGACTGCAGTTTTAGTCAAGAGATGCAAAATTTAATACCAACAACTCTCATGGTTACCTTTATTTATTTTTCAATGATATGTCCAGTACAATGCAATCCTAGTGTTTCAGAGGAATTCAGTGTGTACTATGTGCATACTGTACCATGAGGTGAGAGCCTATGAAGACCACAGTGCTAATGCAGGGTAAGCTGTAATGGGCGTTGAATACTTCAAAATGTAATAAATGACTGCAGTACAACTACAACTTAATGTATAAAAGAGAGGAGTAGAGAACTCAATTAGAGAGTAGGTTTTTACCTCACTCCTGTTCTGATGACTTCAAATTTTTATTAGTGACAGCAGAGTACTGTGGCTTTGACATGAAATATGACTTCTGTATTCCAAATTCTGTCAAGCTTAGGAAAAACAAACTGAGTGCTATGCATTTTATAATATGCTTAAGATAACCCCAACATAAAATTTAATAAAAATGGACCCTGAGGCCCTTCAATTCATTAAACCAATGGTAAATGTCTTGGTGCATTATCACAAGGTAATGAGGTATGATTTACTGTTAATTGCACATCAAAGTCCAATTTGGTTGTACTGCATTTCATTCTCAGGGATATAGAAGTAAAAATGGCATTTTGATGTCAAATATCTGACAAATATTGCAAGCCACTAAGAGGATTGTTTAGTGAAAGTTTGTGAAAGTATGTTATACCTGGGCTCCCAGAGAAATGAGTTATTTAAAAATTTGAGGAAAGTTTTTTTCTTTTAAACTTGGGCTTCTCATTAGTAGTTATGTGGTGTGTTTCTTGCTGCCAGATGGAATTTCAGCCTAAAGGCCTTGTATCAAGGAAGCTCCACAGACCAGCTGCTTCTAAAGGAAATGGCCTTTTAGCAGATGCAGGAGCTCAGAATAGATCTTTGTCTCTCCCTATGGAGTGTTTCATTTCCTAACTATCTAAGAAGAAGCTCCCAAAACCAGACCAATCCAATTTGTTGGGCTTGAAAATAACAGGTTTTTATGAATTTTCAATCCAAAACCTTCTGGTTGTTGTGCAGTCTGTGGACCTGGTTCTTGCCCTTTTTGGTGTATTTACCATTTTAGGAAGAAGAAAAATAATCAGTAACAAAAATGTTAAAGAGTTCTGGCCCCTTTCAGGCTTCTCGCAGAGGAAGATGGACTCCTTCATATGACTGTTGTTTTTCAGTTACTGTTCTGTTTCTAGGAGCCTTACTATCTCTGGACATGTTATACATGTATATGACCCTTTAGTTTAGGATCACCAATGAACTTTTTCTTTTTTTTCCTTCTGTTTCTCCCTTGCTTCCTGTGTCAGGCGTATTCATGCAAACAAATGCTTGAAGGTTTCCCTCCAACCATATATAACCAAATTCTGTTAAGAATATGCATTTTGAAAGATTTAGTCAGAAACAGTTCCTTCATCCTTTCCACCATCTCAGCATTATTTGTCCAAGTGCTTTTGTGTGACTTTACTACAGTGTTTGGCACTTTTACTTCCAAAAGAGAAATCACGATTTCTAGGGCACCATAATTGTTATAGCAAAAAAAGATGGATACCCACGGCCAAGCGTAACCACAGCAGAGATCAAACAGTGAGGCTGCTGGGTAGAAGATGGGATGTAAATGATGCTGTACTATTTGCTGACACAAAAGTTAATGGACCCTATATTTATGTAAGATTTCTTGATGTTAAAACCACTATTTAATTCAGACCTTCACTTTCTCTTTATGTCTATTTGTGTGTTCCAGCCCCCAAAGAGATAGTCTTCTCTGTAGATGTTGGGAATGGCCCCACAGAAGCAATCGTGCAGTCTCCCACACCCCTGAATGACAACCAGTGGCACTATGTCCGAGCAGAGCGGAACCTCAAGCAAACATCTCTACAAGTGGATAACCTCCCCAAGAAGGTCCTGGAGGCACCTGCAGAGGGGCACTTCCGCTTGCAGCTCAACAGCCAATTATTTGTAGGTAGGGACCGTTTAAGGGTTTCTGCAGCTGTGCACAGTATTTCTATGTCTATACCTTGGTAATGCTGTTGCTTCGCTGCTGAGCTTGGGTGTGGTAACCTAATTCTGCCTATTCCTCTTCCACTCCTTCATAAACAACATAAATCCAACCCAAACTACTACCTTTACACTCAAAGCACTTAGTACAGAAAGGTTAGCCTTACAATACTAAATGGCATTTTTAGGGTCTAAGATTGCATGAAACATATTTGTTGCAAAAGAATTAGTTATTTCCTCTTGTGCAGCACTGACTATGTAATTTGCTGAAGGAAATGTGATCTTTCTTTTGTGATGCAATGTAAAAGGCATACATTCTTGTAAGTTACAGTGGCAAAGCTTGATGACAATATGTGCTTAAAATCTGTTCCTTCAAATATGCCTACCATTTGGCTATAAAGTGTGTGTGTGAGAGAATGATAAACACAGCCAAAGCAAATGCAGCTATTTCAACTGAAGGTGTTCTTCAACAAAACAAACAAAAAAACAAAAACCTCTGTTTGCATATAGTTTGTTTCTTTGTCTTCCATGTAAATGAAAACTAGAGGTGGACTAGCTTGTATTTGATAATATAGAACTAGCTTGTATTTGATAATATAACCTGGGATAACAAAGGGTCTTCTCCCTTTTCAATATTCAAACACTGCTTCTCTGAGTACTCCACACTGTGGTGGAGTAGGTTGTAACCTGCTTCTTATTCAGGGCCATGCAAATAATTACTAATTTTTTCCTTAAAATTAATTATCTTATTTAGCTGAAATGGTATGGCAAACCTCAATCTGTAAACTAATTTTAGTAAAGTTTACCTGTGTATCCACACCCCTTGAATTAAGAAGATTTTGAGGTATTTATTTGAGTTTGTTAGAGTGTATGTGTGCAATAATTACTGGGGTCTGAACAGAAGGAGTGAATTGATTAATAAATAGAGTTGTATCATTGACCAGGAGTCCTTCCCTCATAGCAATAGATTCATACCTAAAACGTTCTCTCAGCCTACTGAAAGTCTACTGAAGAACTTATTTTCTGTTAAAATTGTCACAGTACAAGGTTTCTGCTTCCTGGTATGATGCATGCTGCTTATCACTTGTTCCTCAAATGATGATCCTAGAAAGAGGTTCCATGAGAGACAGGGCCTGAGGACAGTAGGGTTGGGCTGCTAGGCACCTTAGAAACATCTGAGAAGTCTAACAAAGCCACAGTTTGCAAACAGAAGACTTAGAGAACTTCATGAATGGATAGGGTTTTTGTTTGTTTGTTTGTTTTGTTTGTTTGTTTACAAATTTTTGGTCTGTTTCTTTGTAAAGGAGTAAAAATGAAGGTATTATCATGTCATCAATCAGATATGTCTTAACTGCTTACTGTCTTGCATCTGAAAATCAGTATCTGCATATAAACAGGTTACTGGAACCAACTTCATGGTGATTTTAAAGTGATAATCAATGCGTTGCATCATGGAAATCCAAGGTAGATAAGGACCCCCAACAAATTGGTGAAATGTGCCAGTAGAAGTGTGCTCAATATCAAAATTTACTTTATTTATCTTTTGGAAAGATTTATTGATCCTTTGGGGTAAAGAAACTGTATTAGCAGCATGTACCACTAAAGTGATGATTGAATGGATATCCAGTTTAGCTTTCAAACTATGATCATTTTCATGATGCTTCAGAGCTATCAGCATATATGTACAGCATATGTGAGGCAGTTTTGTCTCTCTTCCTTTTGGAGGGTTAGGCACTGTATATCACACATATAAACCTGGGCTTTTATAAAATTTGACTACAGGGGCCATTGGCACATAACATAATTTCAAAGGAGTTCTGCTAATTTGGATCAACTAATTCCCTGTCAACTGTTTCTGTTTTCTGACCAATTTTTTTGCTTAAGTTTTGCCCAGAGTTTTCCTCCTTAACCTGAGAATTAGATACATTTAAGACTGTTTGGAATAGAAGGGTTTTGCTCCTAAGTTTGTGTTTACGATGGTTTTGTTTTATTTTCAAGTTGGTCTGACAAACTTTTAGCTTTCTGCAATTTATTACAAAGAAATTTGAACAGAAGCCTTCTCAAGAAAACTTAACAAAGCAGTCAGTGGCAAAGTGGTCTTTGAGGTGTGCTTCGTTTACTTTTGGTCCAATGATACTGATGTTCTGAGTGAGTTAATCAGCCTTTAAATAATTTGTGAAGATTGGAGTTGAGGAGGCCTAGCTTTTCTTGGAAGTTTAAGACACCTTTTATTACTCTGCTTTGTACTTAATACAGTGGGTTTTTTTGTCTGTTCTTGCATTTTGCCAATGTGGCATTTTCCCTACATATCTGTATTTGGGGATGTTTACCCTTGGGGGAGTGGAACCTAAGTATTTGTTCTGTCTGAGCAAGTCAGCAGCCACATACCATGTGCAAGAAATCTTCAGTGCATGATGCTCCTAGGATTCCACTGCAGTGATGATTTCTTACACATGCCATAGTGTACTTTCCATACCTCCTTGCTGGATTTACCTAGAGGTAAAAGCAAAAGGAGAGGAGTCAAAATAGAGCATCTCTCCTTTCTCCCTGTTATCAATAGTGATACAATGTAACAGGATTCAGCTTTACAATTCTTGTTTTATTCCATCATTTTCTATAAATGTCTGATCGTATTCAATTATGGTTTCTCTCTGTTAAGGCAAAATAGTTATGAATAGTCAGTAAAAGACAAAAGGGTAGATTACATAATGTTTGTATGATTAGCTGGTGTGTTTATTGTGTAATTGAATCATAAGGCACTTAGGTATTTATCTAAGTAGTACCAGAAAGAGTTTTTCTATGACTGCACTTGTTAAAATAATTTAGAATAAAGACAGTCTGCTTAAGGCCAACATTGGCACACATGGAGTATGTGACAGGCTTCTGGGATAGCTTTCTCTGTATGTGCAAAGCAAAAGGGAGAAATGAATTTTCACTGCCTCAGTACATCGAGGATTACCCAAAATCAAACAAGCTCAGATTTTAGAGCAGCCTAAAGGAATTTAAAACCCATTTCTCAACCTCTTTTAGAGGGCATTGGGTATCTAACTACTTCTGGTCACTTTATAATCCTCAGCAATAAGATAGATATCCTTGTACCTGGTTATGTTCCTCTGTTAATTTGAAAAAAAAATTACAGTAAAAGGATCAAATCCTGAAGAAGTTTACAAGCTGAATAATATCAACTTGACCAAACTCTGTGCAGCAGAAGGCCAATTTGGTCTGAAGGAACAGACAAAAATCCTTCCCTTCAATGGACTCACTCTCACTATCTAAAATGAGTGACTTTGGATACTGCACCTTCTGGCATATCTTTGTTGTCCGAGAGGGATTCTGTAACCATCTTCTCTGATGCTGTAGTCTGAGATGAAATGCGATGTCTTATCCAGTGAAGGCATGTTCGTAACACCCCAGGATGGGGAGGAGAGTGGAAAGACATCTTCACAGACCTTCTTTACAACAGGATTTGCACTCAGACTTGTAACATCAGAGAAGTAAAATAAAAATCCTGAGAGGTTACTTTCATGCCTACAGCCTTGATCAGAAATTTTTGTTCTACTTATTTGTTATGTTAAAGAGACTGACAAAGTTAAGTGCTTGGGTTCCTGCTTTTATCCTGAGAGCAATGATGTGAGGAATCCTTGGGGAAATCTCCTCTGTATCTTGTAAGTGGTCCAAAGACAATATAACACAGGCAGAGTCAACATCTGAGAAACTTTCTTGGGGGGCAGAGAAAAGGATGGAGAGAATAAGAAGGGACATATTTTGCCTGTTGGATGTTACTCTTGTTAAAAGAATCTGCGGATACCTTTGGATGTTTCAAAGGCCAGGAGTAGGCTTAAATTCTTGTGTATCCTGACTGCTTACTACAACTTGTAGTCTGAGACTATCAAGTGTGACTTGGATGTCTTCTACGTAATATCATAACAAGTTCTCCTACTCCCAAGTAATGATAGTTGTTCTTACACTCTCATACCCTATCCTTTTCTTTGCATCCATTACATAAAGCAAGAACACTCCTAATGTTCTTCACTTCAACCTCCTTAATCCGGTTCTTGCTAACAAAAAAACCTTTGCTTTTAAAAGCAAATCCTCAATTCACTGATAGAACCTTAATATATTATCCAGTTGTGTCACTAAGCTATACTATTGGTGCTCAGTTTTGTTTCTTTCCCACCTCCTCTGAGTCTCTCTTTTCGGCCCCAAGGCTCTTCAGTAAAATTCAGCTGCATAAATACCTTTCTGAAAGTGGCATTGCACATTTGACTGCCACCACCACTCCTCAGCAAAGAACACTTCAACCCTGTTTAACCTTTTTTTTTTTTTTTTTTTTTTTTTTGGTCCTGAGGGTTACCTTAAAATCTGTATTCCTGAATAAAACATTTAGATTGCATACATGAAATTGTCTAGTCCAACAGGCGTATTAGGCTTTGTTGATTCTTCCTACTCTAATTTGGGAAAGATTTTTTTGTTTTGTTTTGTGTTCCATTTTTCTCAACTTCCAAAGAATGTATTTGAAGATTAGTTCTGGTCAATAGGGGAAAACTTCCATAATGCCCAAATAATAAACAGATTTGCTTAATCAATGCTGTGTGGATCTAGGACTGGATAGATGGTCTCTGTTAAGCTCTATAATCTCCAGACATTAGAAGAGGAGAAGAGTAAGAAACATATTATGCAGCTTTCCAAAACATTACAGCGATGAGTAAAAATATGGGCAGTGGAGTAAACATGATATTTGTAGAATACTTAACAATAGTTCCTTTAAAGTGTTACATTTAAATGTGCCAGCTGGAATTTGTTTGTGTGCCAAAAGGAGTCAAGGAAATTGTCATTTATCCTTGAAAAATTTGTGTTTAGTAACCATGCAAGAGAAAACAGAGTAACCAGTAATTTTAAAGGGAGAAATCACATTCCTTCTTATTTGGACATTACTGAAAATTGTGTATGGTGTGTTTGGTTTAGGAGTAAAATCTCCAAAGAAAAGGGTCACGTGTACACAGTGCAAATGCAAAAGGCCCAGATGTTGTGCTCAGAGGGCCTTTAAAATAAGTAAGCTAACATTCATTCATCTGGAAAGAGCAGTTGGCTAAATAATATTTTGAAAATGTTTCACTGAGAAAGACACCATAATATTGGTATAAAGTAAACCTCTCTCACACATACTATCTTGAATTTAGTTATTCTAATTCAAATCCAGTAGTGTACCAGAAAGAAAAATAAGTCAGAATAACGGAACAATACTTTTTAGGTGAGAGTGTTTTTCAGACTGTTGTTTCATTCTCATAGTTTGCAGAACTCTTGATTTAATTAAATAATTTGTGACAGAAAAGATGCTCTTCTACAAGGACTCATCAAAAGATCAGTTATGCATTTTGTAATTGAACAAACTTCTATAGAAGAAGAATTTGGAAAGATAACTTCTTTCATACTTCTTTCTTCTTTATTGATGCATTAGCAATAAAGCTAGCATTTCAAGGGCTACAAGTGCTATTAATTCTTCGGCCAGAGTTAGATTTCGTAGCAGCAATCAAAATTGTAGTAAATTTGAGAGCAAAACATTGGCAACTGCCAAACAAAGCCTACAGTAATAAAAATGTTGATATGTTCACAAAGTACTCTGACTGTCATCAATAATTACTCTTATTGTGAGAGACCACCTCCCAGGGGAAAACTATCTTCATTTCACTGTTAGAAATTTCAGTGGGCAGCTAAGATGCTCATTAGGCTGTAGAGACTGGACTGCTCTATTGCTAAAATCCATACAGCTTTGTACTTCACAAAGTAATGCAATTATGTTTAACAACTGTAATAAATTTCACAACTGTAGCCCAAACTCACGTTTCTTGCCTATAACAAACATTCACATGCAACATCAGGTTGGTCAGTCATGCATAAATTCTGACTCCAAAGTCATTTCCTTTCAGCCATCAAACCTGGCACTGAACATGATTTATCCTTGATAACTGGACTCATCAGTATGTGTAACTCATCTGATGTTGGGATTAAGGTGTTATTTATACTCCATACTATAGCAACAAATAGAAAAAAAAAAAAAAAGAAAAAAAAAGTTTCTCATTTATTAGGTGATATGTGTACTTATGAGAAAGAAGCTAATCTTTTCCCAAATGAATTTGCAATTTAAATACCAAACAGGGCAATAGATAAGGCAGAAAAGAAAAGAAGAGCAACTGGAAATTTAGACACAGCTTTAGTCCTTTCTTACAGATAGAGTGAGACCTTTAGTTTCCAGGACTTTCCATCTGTCATCTTTTGCTACAGTGTGCATTGATACACAATAGATAATATTTTTTAAATGTAATGGATTCATATTTATACCTATGGATTGAACTTCAGGGCTTTGATTACTTTGTGGGCTCATCAGTAAATGTGTGTCCTATTTTTTCTCTCTTTCAGGGGGAACAGCTTCCAGACAAAAGGGCTTTATGGGATGTATTCGATCTCTACATTTAAATGGACAGAAACTTGACCTTGAAGAAAGAGCTAAAATGACTTCTGGTGTTAAACCTGGATGTCCAGGACATTGCAGTAGTTATGGTAACCTGTGCCATAATGGAGGGAAATGTGTGGAGAAGTATAATGGGTATTACTGTGATTGTACCAACTCGGCGTATGAAGGACCGTTCTGCAAGAAAGGTAGGCAGAGAGCTTTGATCCTAAGTCCTTAGTGGTCTCGGAATATCTCTAACACAATTTCACCCATGTCAGTTTGGTGTCCACCATATTGCAAGAGTACATTCTAATAGCAGCTTTCCCCTGAACATCACTAAGTGTTTATGTTAAGTGGGCTATAACTCCTCCTCTTGTTGACTTCAATGATGGATGGCCTCAGAAATGGTTCAAGCTGTACTGTTACTTAAACTACCAACTGTATTGCATGATTCCTGTATTCAGTTGTATATAACTTGTCCAGACATTAACCAGAAGGGCTGAAAACTTCTGTGATGGTTCTTCCCACATATGAATGCTTCATTTGCTTGGTTTTAATCCAGCAAATGAACCTCATCCAGCTTTGTCCACCTTAATAAAATCTAAGGGCTTTTCATTACAGAGTTTTGGAACAAGGGTGTGACAAAAAGAGTTAATCTTTTTATTTTTGTTGCTATCTCTGTGATAACCCATCTAAACCTGGCCATAAGAAGAGATGTCAAAAATGAATGTGCAACATTCATGAGAAAACGGATTTGCATGGTTTAGTTTCTGATAAGCGTGTCCTCACTGAACCTGTTTGCTGGCTTTTAGGGGATGGTGCCAACACCAGAAAAAGGAGCAGGGCAAATAAAGAGCATCCAGTTTAGGTAACATGCTCTTTGGGAGAGGAAGAAACTACCAAAATCACTGCTCAATAACAGCAAGGTGTAATGTGAGTGTTTTAATTTCCGTGACTGCCCCTCACCTTACAAACGCGACAGGCTAAGTGGGCCACATCATCTGCTGGTGTAAATCGGCTTAGTTGTACTCAAGTCCATAGAACTATGCCCACTTACATGAGCTGAGGATTTGGCACCGATGTCACGGGAGGCATATAGAATACCCACATAGTGCCCTGGTAGATACTGCTATAGAGGCGGATCTGCTTTATTGGAGAGAGTACTTGTAATCAGCCTGTAGTGGAAGATATTATCATCCTGATTTTGCTGTGTCTGACATTAGGAAAACTGCTGTTGCAGATTTTTGTTTTGTTTTGTTTTGTTTTGTTTTTCCGTGTATTTCGTGGCCAGACTGTTGTTGTGTTGAAAACGTAATTGTGAGATCTTATAGTTTGAGTACACATAGGTAGATGTTTGTCTTCTTTTGAAGCTACTGCTCTCCCTCAGTGAGTGTCTTTGGATTAATGTGTTGTTTTAATAATGACTTTGCTTAAAAAGAAGACTAGAAAGGACAAATATATTGTTGTCATTACTGTGGGGGAAGACAGAGAATATTGCCTTGCATGTCAACTGTCAGAAGATAGTGAACCGAGCATTTATTTGACTGACCAATATTCTGACCTATTCCATCTTGTGGAGCTATGATTCAAGCTCTAAAATTGTTGAATATAGAGGCCTGTCTCTGTACACTGCCCTTCTATGAATCAGACAAATAGACTGTAAGGAAGGGCACTCTGCTCATCCAAAGGAATGGTGATGTCAGCTGGATCAGAGGCATTTTGCCATGTTCTGCTTCTGAGGCAGGCAGTATGCCTGTCTGGGACACCTGAAAATGCAGTAGCTGAAACAATTCCCTTGGTTTATATGTGCTTTCAGAGGTTTCTGCATTATTTGAAGCCGGCACTTCCGTTACCTATATTTTCCAAGAACCTTATCCTGTCACAAAAAATGCAAGCAGTTTGAGCTCTTCCATTTATGTGGATGCTGTCATGCCCAAGGAAAATATTGCATTTAGCTTTCTCACGGCACATACTCCAAGCCTTCTGCTGTACATCAACACCTACTTTCATGAATATTTGGCTGTGATTCTCTCCAAAAATGGTAAGTACTCTTGATTTGCTACCAAAGGGAGACCAATGTGGCTGTGATTTTTGTGAGAATAGTGCCTGCAACTTCATCAGCTTTGTGGTATTCAGTTCATGCAAATAGCCATCACTCTTGTTTATGTCCCTTTATTTGGCATTCAGTGCTACACTTGCCTATTCAGTCTTTGAATAATTATATTGTTGGGGCTTAAAATGTGCTTTGACTTCCATTTGGCAAGACTGCACAATAGCAGTTCCTTGCTATTTATTCCACAGTGAGATCCATTAGGCCTCCAGGATAAAGGAATGAGAAATTCCATGACTGTACAAGAACGCTTGGTGCAGAAATATATTATTTTATCTTTTGCATTCTCTATTGGAATGCATATTGGTCTTCACTGCATTGTTTCAATAGAATATAGCCAGTACGTCTGAATATTAAAGCCAGAAAATGTCCAGATCTTCTAGATTCGCTGACCAGAACATCCATTTGCTATTAAAAGGTAAATGGTGTGGGCACATTCTGAAAACATGTAAAGATTTTAGGGGGATAGACTGTCTGTCTTCTCAGTAAGTCTCTAGCTTCTGAGTCCTTGCAGTGCTTTCAAAAAACTTACTCCAGACATGCATCATCCTAGACAAACTGGGATATTTGAATTATTCAAGACTTATCAGGCACTGGAGCACTGGAAATGATGACTAAGCATACTGGTGAGTCACTAGCCTGTGGCAGAACAATAGAAAGTTAATGTTATGTGCTTGAATATGTGCATTTGACCGAATGACCCAGACCACTCTGAAGACTTGTGAATTCTAAAATAGCTAACCTCTGAAGTACTATCAAATTAAAGTATAAAGGAGAAAAAAAAAAAAAAAAAAAAAAAAAAAGAGGTTTTATTCTCTGTATGGATTTTGCAGTAGTTTATATCCTGGTTATGTCATGTGGCCAGCATTCAGGCTGGCATGGGATGAATAGCCTAATCCCTGGCTGCCCCTCCTGCTGCCAGGGCAGCATCAGCTTGGGCCCATCTCCCCTAAATGAAGTAGCAGGATGGTGGGACTCTTTAGGAAACATTCTTCTTTCTCCTCTGCCATCCAGTCCCACATTTCCATCTTCACTTTGCTCTCAGATGCAGGTGTTCAGTGTATATGATGTTCAGATATATGAATATTCCACTGCAAAGCTCCAGAGTTGGAGAGGTTAGTCCCTGCTGAGGTGAAAGCTTGGAACTTGCTTCTCAGTTACACTGAGGTCTCTTTATGCCAATCAAGCAATCAAAAATAGCCCTAAAGTAAATGAAAATGTAATATCCATTTATATCACCTTTACTGCTGCCAGAGTAGTATAAAATGACCTTAGAAACATGAGTCAATTGCCTTTTATTGATGAAATGCAGCCATCAGCAAGGTGCAGTTGGGAGGTCTCTAAGAGGCAGGAACTCTCTAATGGTGATTGGGGAAGGAGTTGGGAACAGGACACTGGGATCTCTTGTAGTAGTTCAGCAGAACCACAGATTTTAAAATAAATATTGCATTTAGGCAGCTGCATTATCTGCAGATCTCCTCTTTGACTCAGAAAGAGATAGAGATTCTTCCACTTCCAGAAAGTAGGTGGAGTAGCTCTCAGCACACTCAGAATCAGGAGGCAGTTTGGACAGTAGTGTCTCTCTCATCTCTGTATTTATCTTTGCTCATCTGTAAAATGAAGAGAACATTAGTTTAAAGGGCTGGTGAGATGTCAGGCTCAAAATCCCTGGACTATTTAAATGCAACACTGTACACAAAGAATTAAGATAACTAGCTGACCTTGTTTGTTAAGTCCTGAAAGTCTCTTTCAGATTTGTTCTGTGCTTGCTCCTGTGTTATTCTGTCAGGATAGTCATTTTAGTCATGTATATTCTCTGTCTTCTGTTCCAAATCAGTAGTTTTTTTAAATCTCATGTCCTCTTATTTTTTAGTCTTGTTGGAATTGAAATTGTTCCAATGAAAATAATGTTCAGATTATTCAGATTGTGTTACTCTTTCTTCCTCCAAGAGGTTTATGCTTGCCATAAAGTTACTGGACTATGAATAATAATATTCTTTGTACAATTAAAAGTGAGCACAATTCCTTCTCTTTTATTGGCTTATTTTCAAGGATATTTGCTGAGACTGACAATGTATAGTAGGACTTAGGTAGGTCCCTGCTGTGTAACTGATAGTTAAATAAAGGTTAAGCTTCTGGTGAAATGGGGATGGGCATTCTCGCTCAAGAGGTTAGCAGTAATATTCTTTGAAATAATCCTAAGGCCCTTTCCACTTGTTAAGAAATTATATTGGAACAGTCTATGTATACTTTAATGCTTCACAACACAACCAAACTTTTGTATTTTTGAAGCTTCTAGTGATGTATCCTGTCACTCCTTTTTTCTATTAACCACAAACCAACTATGCAAATTTTTAGTTAATAAAAATAGCAATGAGAAGAATCTTCCTGGTAGTTCAGACTTCTCATGTTAAATAACATAAAAGAAGTGAAAGTGTCTGCAAGGCTTGTTCATATTTAGACTATATTGAAAGGAGCTTATGTGAAAATGAACTTGTATGGGCAACTGTGGTCTAATCCAGTCAGGTGTGAAATATTCCCTGTAAAATCAATTGGTTTCAGTAAAATTAATAAATAATCACATTTAACCCCAAGCACTTTCCACTGGCAGACTGTAAAGGAAGTCACATCATTAAAACATACAGTACATACTGACTGAGACACCAGAATTTCGGTAGTAAAATGATTTACTTAGAGTTACTCAACGGGTCAGTTTCAGATCTGGGAATGGAAATAAAATCTCCTCATAGTCAGTCATTTCTTTATGCACGCTGCACACTGCCACTCACACAGAAAGCCCTTCCAGTGCTTGGAGCCTTAGAGGTCAGGTACTTCATTTAGGAAATATAAATATAACAGATCTTGGGTACCACCATATGTCAGTGTAGGAGCTACCATTCTGGATCTTTACAGATGACCTCCTTCTCTTAAATTAGATGCTCAGTGGTGCCTTGCAACTAGTATGTCTAGAAACAGTTCCCACTCTAGTGATTTATCTGTATCAAAGTGTTTTTCTTACATCTGGTCAATGGGCTTCGTGTCATGGCATGGGTAAGTCTTCAAAAGTTTATGTTTTTAAAGACGACTCAGTAGGGATTCTTTCTGCTATTAATGAATACTTAGTCTCCTATATCATACATGTGCATTTGAAAATGGATGCAATAATTTAGCATTTCTCTCCTCCCCAGTCTTCTTAGAATCATGGAATGGTTTGGATTGGAAGAGACCTTAAAGATCACTTAATTCCATCCTCCATGCCATGGGCAGGGATACCTGCCACTAGACCTGCTTAGAGCCTCATCCAACCTGGTCTTAGACACTTCCAAGGATGGGGCATTCACAAGCCTTTCTCTAGATTTTTTTTTCAGGGGGTATATGCCCTTGAACATCTGCATCTTGTAACACTAATTAATCAAATGGTGAGGAGTCTGGTTTGGTGTCATTAATTGCACGATGGAAGACATTTGCACACCACAGAGCTGTGCTTTCTTATGAATAGTGCCGCAAGGTCATGTGCTTTGTGATCACAGAATCACAGAATCACAGAATTTCTAGGTTGGAAGAGACCTCAAGATCATCGAGTCCAACCTCTAACCTAACACTAACAGTCCCCACTAAACCATATCCCTAAGCTCTACATCTAAACGTCTTTTGAAGACTTCCAGGGATGGTGACTCCACCACCTCCCTGGGCAGCCCGTTCCAGTGCCTCACAACCCTTTCAGTAAAGAAATTCTTCCTAACATCTAACCTAAAACTCCCCTGGCGTAACTTTAGCCCATTCCCCCTCGTCCTGTCACCAGGCACATGGGAGAACAGGCCAACCCCCACCTCTCTACAGCCTCCTTTAATGTACTTATACAGAGCAATAAGGTCACCCCTGAGCCTCCTCTTCTCTAGGCTGAACAAGCCCAGCTCCTTCAGCCGCTCCTCATAGGACTTGCTCTCCAGGCCCCTCACCAGCTTCGTCGCCCTTCTCTGGACCCGCTCAAGCACCTCGATGTCCTTCTTGTAGCGAGGGGCCCAAAACTGAACACAGTACTCGAGGTGCGGCCTCACCAGAGCCGAGTACAAGGGGACGATCACCTCCCTAGCCCTGCTGGTCACAGTGTTTCTGATACAAGCCAGGATGCCGTTGGCCTTCTTGGCCACCTGAGCACACTGCTGGCTCATATTCAGCCGACTGTCCACCATCACTCCCAGGTCCTTCTCTGCCTGGCAGCTCTCCAACCATTCCTCTCCCAGCCTGTAGTTCTGCTTGGGGTTATTGCGCCCCAGGTGCAGGACCCAGCACTTGGCCTTGTTAAACTTCATGCAGTTGACCTCAGCCCATCGGTGCAGCCTATCCAGATCCTCCTGCAGAGCCTTCCCCTCGAGCAGATCGACACACGCACCTAGCTTGGTGTCATCTGCAAATTTACTGAGGGTGCACTCAATGCCATCATCCAGATCATTGATGAAGATGTTAAAGAGGACCGGCCCCAGCACTGAGTCCTGGGGGACGCCACTAGTGACTGGCCTCCAACTGGACTTGGCTCCATTCACCACAACTCTTTGGGCCCGGCTATCCAGCCAGTTTCTAACCCAACGAAGCGTGCGCCAGTCCAAGCCAAGAGCAGCCAGTTTCTTGAGGAGAATGCTGTGGGAGACGGTGTCAAAAGCCTTGCTGAAGTCAAGGTAGACCACATCCACAGCCTTTCCCTCATCCACCCAGCGCGTCACTTTGTCGTAGAAGGAGATCAGGTTCGTCAAGCAGGACCTGCCTTCCATAAACCCATGCTGGCTGGGCCTGATCGCCTGCTTGCCCTTCAAGTGCCGCATGATGACTCCCAAGAGGATCTGCTCCATGAGCTTCCCTGGTACTGAGGTCAAACTGACCGGCCTGTAGTTCCCCGGGTCTGCCCTCCGGCCCTTCTTGTAGATGGGCGTCAC